TCATATTAAATCCCAAGACCCAAAAGAAAAGTTGAGGAGAGAAGCAAGGTGAGGTGTGCAGGTACTGACAGCTTTCTGTCTGGTCTGTTTGGAACCAGAAAAACAAACTTTAAGAATCTTCATGTAAGTGTAAAATATTAAAAGTACAAGAATAACTGTTGTAAAAGTGTAAACTATTCCATAGATATTATTGACTGTTGTGTCATAACAGGCCAGTTTGACAATGGAGTAGTTGTCACAGTACACTTTGTTAATGATGTTCCCACACAGTTGTAGAGGAACACTCAAAGATATTAAAATAAAAATAGCAAGAAATGGGTATAACCATGTTAGAGTGATAAGAATGGCAATGTTGTTAGATGTCATACGTGTGTTATATTGTAGAGGATAACAGATAGCAAGATATCTGTCATAAGACATGACGGCTAAATTACTAAATTCTACACTTGCATATGTATACACACAGAAAATCTGCAGGTAACAAAATGAAGCAGGAACAGTGTGAATGTCAGAGAGAATTAACAGAACCATTGGAGAACAACCCTGTACTACCAATACAGTTTCATTTACAAACAGGCTGCACAGAATATTGTACATAGGTTCATGTAAGCTTCTGTTCCTACAGATAGATCACAATGAGCAAAAGATTGGCACAAACAATTAAAATATATAAAGACATAACAATCATGAAATATAAATATTTAAAAACACCAGTGTCGAAGTAAGCAGCAAGAGTGAAATATGAAACAGGTGTAGAGTTAATCATGATTTACAGGATGATTAGACCTCTTGTACAGACAATACAAATGCTTTTGATCAAAGCTACATTACTCGCTTTTAAACTTTAGTGGAGACTATAAATGTTCCAGAGATATCAAGACATGCAGAAGACATCTAGTATATTTCTGAAAACAATATGTGGCTTCCATGAAGAGCTGAAAGAAGATGATAAAAGAAATAAATTAAGCTATTAAACAGTGCAGAACAAAATTATTGTTATTATTATTAAGTTTGAATAAGTAGCTGCATTAGCACATAACAGCAGTCTACTGACAATAAATACATTAATACTAAACAATAAATGTGGCCAATTCCTCAAACTAAGTGAAAATCATAATAACTATTACAGTTAATGAGATTGTGTAAATCCTAATATTTGTCTACTGTGAGTCCCTCCTACCTGAGCTCAAACTCTGCTTCTGGTTCCTTTTAACCTTTTCAAGTCAGGAATCACCCACAGCAACAGGCTGACCTCATTATCAAAGGACCTCCTGTTGTTACTTATTTCAAGCTGATGTTATTTCATGTTTGGATTGATTACTGTTAGTAACTTTGACAGACTATCTCAGTTTAAACCATTGACAGTATATAATTAATGGACAGAGCTTCCAGGTCTGTGAAATGAAGCCAATGTGGAAGTGTAATTTATTAGATTAACATCATACCGTAACAAAGAAGAATTGAAACTTGAGACTGAGACCATAAACTAATTTCGAAACTGTTTACTGAGCTCATAAATGAACATAAAACAATTCTCCAAAAGGCAGATCTAAGACACTTTCTCGTTAGCGTCACCTTACAGACCCAGAAACTCTGCCCACCATATATATTGTCAGAGGCTAATGAAACTAGATGACCATGTCAGGCTAGCATGTTGGGAAGGGGGCTAAATAATGCTCCAAACTTTTGCAGATGGAAAACTGGCATGGCCATTTTCAAAGGGATCCCTTGAGACAGCCCACTTTATGCTAATCCCATGTACTTTTTGCTGTATTTTGCATGTGGTGTTATTTTGGCCTAGTAAGGCCTTAACAATTAATTTGGTGACTCCGCTAAACCAGTGACGTGAAGGCAAGAAAAGCTGCACCTGTTCAAAAAGATAAAACTCCTTGTGAACCCGACAGTTCCCAAGGACAAAAGGAAAGCCCACATTTCTACTGTTAAACATTATAAAGGACTTGGCTATCAAGAGGTTTATGATATGAGGAAAAATCATGCCTGCTTATCAAGAAGGTGGTTGAATAAATAAAAGTGTATGTGTGTGTGTGTGTGTGTGTGTGAAAAAATTGTATAGAAATCCTCTGTTTTTAACAAAATGCCTCCAGCAGCTCCAGCTGTTCCACTTGTACCACAAGAGCAACATGACATCTCTCTTGAGATCTTTGTTGGTTACACCTGCACTAAGTAAACTAATCAATCCTCCTCCTCACCTATAAAGCTCTTCATGGTCAGGCCCCTTCATATCTCAAAGAGCTCATAGTACCCTATTACCCCTCTAGAAC